CTGAACATTATGGGTGGTAGAAAACAGAAGGTAACAATAGGCCTTTGTCAGAATGTCTTAAGGGAAATTCTTGCAAACAGACCTCCTGCTCACAAGTTCAAGATAACAAGCAATAGAGTAAGTATACGCCTGGCAAGAAGGAACCTTCATCCCAATCCGGTTATTGTTTATATTCTTAGTGTCTTTAAGGTGAAAGTCTGCCAAATATTCTATAGGTTTTACCTTTGTCCAACAACACGCAGTTGCTAGCTCAGTGCGCAGACCTCCCAAACCCTTGGGTTCAGCCTTTGCATCCTTTTCAAGGTTTCTTATTCATCTACCTATTGAGACTGGGAGCCTCTGCCTTCGGCTACAATTTCCAGGCAAGGCTGAGTGAAAGAGTATGCATTTTTTACTTTTCTGTTGCCACGCATCAGAACTGCTGGGCTTCCACTGTTTTTCCCTTTTGCCATGGACAGAGGAATGGGGTGCAGGCCTGAGTGAGCCCAGCTTCCTGGACCCCACTCTGTGGGCCATTTCCCTGTCCAGACTACCCTGGCCCTTAACTTGGTTTGAGCCTGTGGAGGCGTGGGCAGGAGACCCAGAGAGGGCACAGGCCGAGAGGTGGGAATGGCAGTAGAGGCGGGTGTAGCCAGAGCACAATACTGGTGGTGCAATCTCAGTCATACTGCGGGGTGTTTCTGTGTAGCGTGTTCAGGGGAACAGAAAGGTGTGGCGCTGCCGCTGGGATAAAGGGACTCGCGCACCGCAGAGGGCGTGGCTGCAAAGGTGCTGAGATCAGCTCTTGAAGGCCCGGGGCAGGCCTGACCCCCAGGAAGGCTTCTCAAACCCTGAGCACTCCGTGAAGAGAGTCACAGCGCTTTTCCTCCTCTGACTGTCTTCTTTCCATGCCAGTCTCAGTCGTGAGTTACTGAGAAGGTGACTTTGGGGGCAGGGGGTGTCTGTGACAATGGAGAGAAAAGATGTGAGGAAGATCACAAAGACAGAATTGACAGCACTTGATGACCCTTTAAGTAGCTGCAAGGCTAGGCGTGGAGGAGGAGGACAGCGTGACTCCAGGGATTTAGGCTGGTTGGAAGCAAAAGATTTTTTGTCTTAAACTTTTAAAATTGACTGTGCAACACACACACACTTGCATAAAATGTAATGCACCGCTCAATGGATCCTCACTAAGAGGACAGCCCAGAGTTGTTGCAGCAGCCCAGGGTTGAAGGACAACATTACCAGGACCCCAGAAGCACCCACATGTCCCCAGGTATTACCTTTAATTAAAAATATTTCATTAGGCCGGGCGCGGTGGCTCACGCCTGTAATCCTAGCTCTCTGGGAGGCCGAGACGGGCGGATTGCTCAAGGTCAGGAGTTCAAAACCAGCCTGAGCAAGAGCGAGACCTCGTCTCTACTATAAATAGAAAGAAATTAATTGGCCAACTAATATATATAGAATTAGCCGGGCATGGTGGCACATGCCTGTAGTCCCAGCTACTCGGGAGGCTGAGGCAGGAGGATCGCTTGAGCCCAGGAGTTTGAGGTTGCTGTGAGCTAGGCTGACGCCACGGCACTCACTCTAGCCTGGGCAACAAGTGAGACTCTGTCTCAAAAAAAAAAAAAATTCATTAATTAAAACTTTTTTTCATAGCTCATTCATAAGTACGCTCTCAATCTTTACCCTGAAGGAGCCACTGAAATAGTTTTCAGTGCTCAGGGAAACTCTGCTGAACAATTTTGATATCTGACAGCTCGTGGCACATTAATATGATCATTCAATCATAGATATAATAATCCAGTGATAGCTATCAGGGCTCTTTTGAGTAGAGATGGATATTTTCCTGTGGCTGGTCCTCTCCCAAAGGACATCAGCTATAATGCAATTCAGGAGTGTAGGCAGAGGAAGCTTTAGTTTTCTTTTTAAAAATTTACCACTTAGGGTTGTTTTTTGTTTGTTTGTTTGTTTTTGTAGAATCGTATTGAATTAAAATAATAGTATAATAAATTGTACTTACTTACAGTCTATGTTTGATTGTTTTTGACATATGTCTATGCCCATGAAGCCATCACCATGATCAAGATAGTGAATATTTCCATCATCCCTGGAAGATTCCTTGTGTCCTTTGGCAACTCATCACTCTCCCCAATCTCATTCCCAGGCTTGCTGTGATAAGTTAGTTTGCATGTTACCGAATTCTATATGAATGGAATAAAACAGCATGTACTCTCTTGGGTCTGGCTCCTTTCACTTAGCACAATGAGCTTGAGATCCATCCACGTCACTGCACATTGTCGTTTGCTGCTTTTTATTGTTGCGTAGTATTCTTACTCCAGAAATCCCACCATCTGTGTGTCTATTCACTGGATGATAGACATTTGGGTTATTTCTAGATTTTACCTATTATAGATAAAACTGTTCTGTACAAATTAAGCTTCGTGGGCAAATCTTTGCATGGATATATGTTTTCTGTTTCTTTTGGGTAAATACCCAGGAGTGGAATGGTTAAGTTGTATGGTAGTATATGTTTGACTTTTTTAAAACTGCCAGTTTTCCAAAATGAGTGTACCATTTTACATTCCCACCCACAGTGTATGACAGTTCTGGTTGTTCCACGTTCCCGTCAACACTTGGAATGGTGAGTCTTTCAAATTTCGGCCAATCCTGGCTGTGAAAGGACTAATGATATTGAACATCTTTGCATGTATTTCTTGGTCATTTTTGTATCTTCCTGTGTAAAATATCTATTTCAAATCTTCTGCCTGCTTTAAAATTGGGTCGTTTGTCTCATTTTTCAATAGTAAGAGTTCTTTATTATTCTGAATATTAGTCCTTTGACTGGTACATCTATTACACATATCTCCAAGTCTGTGTTTTCTTTTTCTTAATTTCGTCTTATGAGGAGCAAAAGTTTTAAATTTTGATGGTTCAATGTATCAAATTTTAAAATTGTTTCATGCTCTTTCCATTCTATGTAAAAAATCTTTTTTTGTTTCCAGTAAAATATTTTCTTCCATATTTTATTACAGAAATTTTATAGTTTTAGCAAAAGGCGAAAGATTTATATGATCTGAGGAGAAACCAGAGTACATAGTTTTAGAATTTACATTTAGGTCTATAACCCATTTGGAGTTATTATTTTTTGTAGATGTATGTGGTAAATTTTAATCTTTATTATGTGGTGTGTAGTGTATCTTTGAGTGCTTTTAGGTTTTATTTTCATCATTGGTTTTCTACGATTTGCTTTAGATGTGACTTTGTGTCAGGGCTGGGTGTGTGTGTGTCTGTGTGTGATCTATGTTTATCCTGCTTTGGGTTTATTGATTTATATGGATCTATAAATTTTTAATTTTTATCAAATTTGGAAAAATTATTATTTTTTCAAAAACTTTATTTTTGAAAAATAACTTTTATTTTTTTTCAAAAACTTTTATTTCAAAATCTATTATTTTTTCAAAAACTTTCTATCCACTTCCCTATCCTTCTGAGACTCCCATCATATCCATTGATATTATTCCACAGGTCACTGAGACTCTGTATAGTTCCTCCCTCTATGTGATTTATTTGACTGGATTCTATTGTTATGTCTTTACGTTTTCTGATCTTTTCTTCACAACGTCTAATCTGCTGCTAATCATATGAACCTGCTGAAATTTTTATTTCAGATATTATTTCTGAAAAATCTCTAGGTATTTCACTCGGCTCCTTTTTAATATCTTCCGCTTTTCGTTATATTTATGTTTTCCTATCAATACTTGAATATGGTTATTGTGTCTGTTTTAATGCTCCTGTCTGTTCTAACCACTCTGTCATTTCTTGTTCCGTTTCTGTGGACTAATTTAGCAGAGCGGTCACACGTTGGCAGCAGCGCTGACGTCCTTTGACTGCATGCGATTCTAGACGTTCATTCATCTGGAAATTTGTACTGAAATTAAAACTTGCAGGCAGGGAAGAGAAGTACAGCGTCACCCTATTCCCATGTGTCTTCTTGTGTTTTTAAGAAGCACACTTGGTTTTTCTGGAAGAGCCAGTGAAACACACATAAATGATCTTGGCATGTCCCATGCTGATGTTTCTCAGTCCTGGTGGGGGACTAATGAGGGACGAACCCAGCATTCTTTTGTCTCCAAGTCTCAGAGTTTCTTCCTTGCAGTATGTCAGGGTTTTTAAAGCACCTAGACTTGGTTTTCATCATCCAGAACCGCATCTGACTTCATGTAAGAGAAGCCAGCCAAGCGCTGGAATGACACCCAGCCGTGCTCACCAGCAGCACCCTGGGACCATGACCTCCGTAAGTCCGCCCTTAGTGACAAGTTCAGCCTGAGGTGAAATAATATTCCTCTTATCTTGGTTTATCGCCCTCAAAAATCCATTTCTAGATTTTCACTGACATAAACAAGCAAATTCCTTAATTCTTTCAGTATGTAAACTTTGTCATCTAGACCGGATTTTGCATTTACGCCCTGGAATGTTGAGATGCCATT